ATTTAATGAAAAACAAATAGTAGCAAGGGTCTGTTAAAGAGTCAAGAATGGAATCTACTGGAATGCCCTTCTGTGCTGTACTATCCCCTCTAATCAGCCCTGGCCACCCTGCTGCAGAGGGGCTGCCAGTCTGTCATCATTACTTGGTTTTAACTGAAGTCTGCAGGTCCATTACAGATAGACTTAAGCCTACCATTGTACTATTTTCTATTTGTCATATCAGTTCCTTTTTTTTTTATCCCTAATTTTATTTGGATGGATCAAGTATTTTTGTTATTCTACATATCTACTCTATTTAGTTAAACTGGGCTATAAAAGTCTGTGCTAAGTTAGAAAGAAATGTTTCCTCTATATTTTTAACATTAGCATCCTAACATTTCTAAATCAATGCCAACAAACTAAATGTTCAAAACCTAAGATTAGCAGATTTCAGGAAATACTTTGGAACAAGGGCTATATGTCATTACACAAAACTTCCTGGAATGCTTAGCTACGTAAAGAATGGTATAGCCATTTGATGGGAAACTGTAGCTATTAAAAAATCATGAACTTGAAGAATATTTCACGATTCAGGGGAAATGCCTTGGTGCAATGTGAAGGGAGATAAAGCAGACGGGACAGAGACAATGCAATGTGCTGGCTCCATGGTTTCCTTCTCCGGGTGGACTAGGAGACTATGTTTCCCATTCTCCCTTGGGTTAGGATGGGATCATGTGATTGGGTTTCTCATCAGTGGGAATGTGAGCTGAAGTGTGATGGGTCCCATTCTAGTCTTAGAGAGTAAAACAACATCGCAAGTTTGCCAAACTCTCTCCTAAACACATTGGAAGCACAGGACTCTGAAGGTGATGATTCCCAACCAACTTTTGGAAAAAAACTGACCTGGATTGCTGCTTGACCTGCAAGAACTGGGCTGAAAGCAAGAAACTAACCTCTGTTGTATTAAGCCTTTAAGATCAGGTTTAGTTGCTAGGGAAATCAAGGTACAGGATATCAAATTGTATATTTGAACAGCTTAATTTTTTTAAGAATTATTTTTATTTATTTATGCATACAAGAACTGGGGTGTGGGCCAGAGGTGTGGGGGGTGAGAGGATTCCCCAGAGACAGAGTTGGGAGCAGAACAGGCAGATTGGCTGAAATACACTGCTGAGGGGAGCAGCAGGGGAGACAGGGGAGGTCTGTTGCACCATATATGGCCAGGGATGGAACTTAGGCTGCAGCGGTGGGTGATAGTGTGATAGTGTTGAGACTTAACTCCTAGGCCACCAGGGAGGCCCCACAGCTAATTTTGTTAATAAAAAGTATTTATAAAACCATATTTATGTCTGTATTATATATGTTTAGATACACACAGTTACCTTATTAAAATGTTAGTTTTTTCTGTTCTAAAACTGTAACATTAAAGTTCTCTATTCATTATTAAAAGTTTCTAATTCTATTACAATAAACAGGCATTTACTTTTCTAATCAAGAATATACAATAGTGTTACTAGTGGGAAAAGCACTGGACCAGGCTCAGGCAGACACTGAATGAGCTCTGGTGGATGAACTGAAATGTTTTCCCACAGCGAGGGTTCTGGTTATGGAATGGAGTGAGGGTAGGAGCTACTGTCATTGCTCTCCCTGGAATGCCTAGGGCTCTGGAGTTCTGGTATATCACTGAAAAAAGTCTAAATATGTCACTTTTTTGAAAATAATTTTCACAGTTCTGTTAAACTGGTATCAGCTATAACAGCGAAAATACAATCCCCAACTGGTCCATTGAGTTAGAAAATGGTGCTGCAGTACAAAATGTAGGGGAGTGTGTAGGCACAAAGCCTGTGCTCCACCAACGGTTCACATGTGCATTCCTCCAGATACAGCAGCAGCAGCATAAGATAATTAATACAGAAATGCAAGTTATAATGCTTAGGGAAACAGAATTTGCTGGTCTCTCCATAAGTACTAGAAAACATTGTTCCTGGAGGACGATCACATGGGAAGAAAATCCACCACTCCACCTCTTCCCTTCAAATCTGCATGGTTGAACACACTGAGACTGGATCCTGCCTCTCATTGCAGGGCAGCCTAGCCTGCCACACGCTGAGTGCTTTTGTTAACTGCAGGATCTTGGTGCCTTGTCTCATAAATTCTAAGAAACATATGATAGGCGGCCCTCGACAGCTGCTCTGTTTTGATCTGCACCCTGTGATTTGACATCTAAGTAGGAGAATTATGTTTTGTGCCCGTCAGCCTTCCCCTTTGTTGTTTTTCAATAGGAGCAGCTTTGCTTTACATTTGGGACAGGGAGTTCTTTTACCATGGTCTGAAGACACTAATTGTTGTCCTCTTTGTGGGAGAAAAAGAAAGACATGATGGATCTGCTCTAACAGAGAAGCCTGAGGTTATGGTAACATAGATGTACCACGGGCATAGAAGTCTTTTCTGCAAGCTGGACCCTCAGTATTTAAGGGAGTCATTATAATGACAACAACCATAACAACAGCAATAAACAGAGATCTTGCATTTGATTGGGAAGAATTCATTGTGCACAATGAGCCTATTTCGTATGTTCACTCTATGCTCACTTTGAGATGTAACTACTTTAGGTAGGAAAATATAACTAACATTAACTAAACACACTTAGGCCTCCTCTTCCCCCTAAGCCATAAGAAAACACTGCTCTCCAAATAATGACACGTCAACTTATGCAACATTATTAGAAATCTCACTTGGGAAATGAATTTGCACATTAAAAAAGAAAGACTGATATTTTGACTTGTAAACACTAGCAACATTTAAGAACTCTGTTCAAAGAGGCATCCCTGACCACTCCTCATTCAAAGTCCAGGTCATCAAACTTTTAAATTCCTGTACAGCTCTTTCTACAGTCTAATATCATTTTCATTTTGCTTATTGTTCTACTTTCCACCACCCCATCCCCACTTTGTTCAAGCAGGAGCCTTGTGTCTTATCCACTGCTGCAAACCTAGAGCAAGGGCCGGCGTTTAACAGGTATTCATTAAATATTGGCTGGAAAACAGCAGAGCAGACAACTAGGGTATCCAGGTACAGTTATACCCTAGCAAGAGAATTTGGCTTAAAGCTTCCTTTAGTGGTTTGTCTTAGATCTGCAATTTCATGTAAAAAATAAGTTTACATTAGAAATGGAAGGTGGGAAGGAAGTAAGGCTTCTTAACAGATTATTAGTCACTGCTAAAGAACAAAGCTACCAGCTTCCTCACTCCTCAGGCCAGCCTGCATTCTGAGACCTTCTCTTCACTTCCAGGAAAGCTTTGAGATATCAGAGCTTATACTCTCCAGCCAATTTAAACATGTCTATTTAGTACCGGTGCTCTCTGAGAAGCTATGTAAACTGTCACTTCCTTATATAATCCTCTCCGAAGAGGTGGTGGGTTCAAAAAGACTAGACACAATCCGGAGTCATCATACTCCAAATGGTCTCATGATTGCTTTGGCCTGAAAGCCTTGCTTTTTCTTCCTCATTCTCAATCTTAGCTCAAAATGTAAAAGGTCAATGAAGGTATACAGAAAAAAGTCTCTTATTTCTGTCTCCCACTCTCCCAGATCTTGTTTTCAAGATTTTATGCAATAAAAAGACAGATGCGTGTGCTCTTCTTACACGAGTGACAACATAGTTGACATATTGTTTGCATCCTGCCTTATTTTATTTAGCACTCTATTTTGAAAGTCCTTCTACATGTGAATAGATCTGCTCATTCTTTTTAGTGTGGCATAATAGTCCATTTTTTGGATGTCCTTTTGGAGTATGAGAAGTGTTTTTGGTTTTTTTGTGTGTGTTTAATAAGGATATTGCACTAAATATTTTATAGTCATTTTGCATTAATATAGAATAGTTATTCAGAAGTAGAATTGTGGAGTTTAAGAGGATGTGCGTTTCACATGTTTATAGATCTTGCCAAATTGTCTTCCAAAATGGTTGTACCAATTTCCCTTCTCACCAACAAAATATTGAGGCACTATTTCCCTACATCCTTTTATCAAACATTTATATCTTTAACAGTCAGATGAAATGGAAGATAATATCGCACAATTGTTCTAATGTATACGTTTATAATGAGTGAATCTGAGCATCTTTTCATATAAGACATTTGTCCTGTGGACCATCTGTGCAAATATTTGCTTTTTTAAATTAGATTGTCTTTTTCCTATTGATTTACAGGAGTTCTTCATATTTCAGAAAATAAGGCTGAGCGCTGGGTTGCGAGGCTGCCTGCAGCCTCTGCAGCGCTGGTTTAATCCCCAGCCACCAGTGAGGGTCTTACCAAAAAGAAAGAAAAAAAAAAAAGAAAAGAAGGCTTGTGTCTATCACATAAGACAGGAAATTGATTTTGTTTTAACTGGAAATGCCTTTTTTCCCCACTTAATAAATTTTTTCACTGTTACATAATCAGAAAGATTTATCAATCATTTATTTTATAGTCTCTTGTTTTGTGTCATAATTTCCTATCCTGATAATATTACAAAATCTGAGGCATGCTACTTTAACACTCATCAATGAGCAAATCTTGGATCTCTCAATACCTAGGGAAGGCAAACACAAGAAAGGGACATGTCCTCCCTGCAGATTTCCAAAGTGTTTCCATTTATTCTCATTATTTTTTTTTTTTTTTGGAGAGTATAATTTTTCTCCAAGCAAATGATACCAGGAATGAATCATTCGGAGTCAGGTGAGGCCCTGCTCTCCCTATGATGGTAATAAACACCCAACAAGTCTGGTAGTATAGAGCATATCATAAATGAATATCAATACCCTGAATGTTAAACACACAGTAGCAGGAGGAATATTCCCTCCTGACACCTCTGAGTTTATAGGGGCAATGGCACCATCTGAATGGAAGCCAGCAGAATACACATCAGGCTATAGTCACAGTCTGAGGAAATGCTTTCAAGTCCACTGAAATAAGCCACTTAGTCTGCCATATTTTGAGGCTGTGGCCTCAACTATGTAGCCATAGTTACGCTACTGTGCTTACCGTTCTTTTAGTTCTTGACCGTTCACTTCTGATTCAGGCCCTAGAAGGACAGTCTGCTGCTGGAAACCTTTCATCCCAATACTGTATCTTCCAATTGTTATAATTCAGCATCTGAATATGGCAAAAAGACATATACTTTATATAAGTAGCGCTTCTTACATATTACCCCAGCTAGTGTTTATTTGAAGGTGTGTGCGTCTAGTTCAACACCTCAGAGACAAGTCTGAAATCTCAGATGAAGTCCAGTAGAACTATAAGGTAAATATCAGCCTCCTTGCCTTGCTCCTTACAACTATAATCATGTATCAACATGTAAGTCATGTATGAATGACATACAGATATATATCTCCCTCTCAACAAACTGAATGCCAGGTACTACTTCTCCCAGTAACCTTGGATGGGAAAAAGACATTACATACGTTAGTTAGAAAAATATGTAATTATAGCAGCAGATAATATATTGAACACTACATGAGATCATCATATGCCTTATTTATTCCTCACAATAATGATACAGAATGCTCTTACTACTTCATTTTTAACTGCTAGGGAAATCAGAAATAAAGAATTTGAGTAATTTGCCCATGTTTACAGAGCTTTGGGCTGCATAGCTGGGCTTCAAACCCAAGGAGTTTGACCCAGAGCTGAAACTCTTATCCACTTACACAGCACAACCTGTATCAGGCAGATTGCCACAGATGGGTACAGGCTGGGAGAAAAAGCACATATATGCATGATGGGAGAAGCAATTCACTTGAGTTTGTGTATTGAACCCTTGATGAACTTGGTTATTGGCCAATTGCCAGGAAGGCAGGTAACAAAGAGATGGCTTTTTCCCAGGTGTGGATATAGGTGGACATTTAGACATGTAAGCCAAATGTCTGGCTTAAAAAAAATGTGCTGAAATTTCCTGCCATTTGTTTATTAAATACCAGCAAAACTCGTCTGACTTCAAGAACCTTAAACACTTCTCAATTTGGTTGCTTATACATTAATAGAAAATACAGTTTTTGGGGCTTCCCCGGTGGCGCAGCGGTTGAGCGCTGGGTTGCGAAGCTGCCCGCAGCCTCTGCGGCGCAGGTTTGATCCCCGGCTGCTCCCCGGCCACCAGAGGAGGGTCCCACATGGCGCGCAGACCTCTCCTGCCGCCCGCTGCTCCCCTCAGCAGTGTACTTCGGTCCTTCTGCCTGTTCTGCATCCTGCTCTGGCTCTGGTGAATTCTCTCACCCTCCCGCGCTTCTGACTGTACCCAGTGCTTGTATGAATAAATAAATAAATAAATAAATCTTAAAAAAAAATTTAAAAAAAAAAAAAAAAAAATACAGTTTTTGATAAATACAATTTGTAGTGACATCAAAACTGAGTTTAAGGATCATTTGAGAGGCTAGCAAAGTTGTTCACATCTAGGTATCAAACCACCTGCTTTGTTTGCTGAAACAAGGTACTGTAAGTACATGCAACCCAATCCTAGAGCTGGCCTTGGGGAGAGTGGGGGCTTCTGCTTGAAGCTGAAGAGGCAGACTGGGAAAATAACAACAGCAAGAGGACAACTTTGATTCCATTATATTAATAGTGTCTAGTGAATTTCATAATCTCACCTGCAGGTTCAAATAAATAAGCAGGGGCAATCATTATTAAGCAGCTTTCATGTTAGAAGGGGGGGTTTGATTAGGTTTCACATTTTTAAAGTATTTTAGGTTTACTTAATGCCTGTAGATTGGGCTGAGGTCCCAGAGAGATTAGAAAACAGAACAGATCCTTCATAGGAATATAAAAAGCCCTTAACTTGGACTATATTATTCATACTACTTCACATCTACATGGCCTCCGGTCTTGCTCCCTCCAAAGTAATTTTCCACATATCAGCCAGGGTAATCTTTTAAAACAAAAAACAAATTAGGGCCTCCCTGGTGGCGCAAGGGGTTAAGATGCAACCTACGAAGCAATCCGGCCACTGCAGCACAAGTTCAATCCCTGGCCAGGGAGCTACCCACATGGCACAGCAGACCGCTCCTGACTCACCTGCTGCTCCCCTCAGCAGTGTATTTCAGTACATCTGCCTGTTCTGTTCCCCACTCTGTCTCTGGTGAATCCTCTCACCCCAACACCTCTGGCCTGTACCCTAGTTCTTGTATGCATAAATAAATACTTTTAAAAAAAAAAAAGTCCAAGAACAATTTAAAAAAAAATAAAACAAAGACAAATTATCTCTCTTCCTTGGTTATACCTCTCCAAAGGCTTCAGGTAAAATCTAAACATACGTGTATTGCCAGGACTCTGGAGCAAGTTCTCTACTGATTCAGGCAAACGGTAAAGGAGAGTCCTTAAGCCCTCGATGACTTTTTCAGGCTTTTAATGATCCTTCTAGAGTATTTGTAGTGAGGCAGCCAGATGCAGGGCAGGCAGGGAGGCCTGGCAGCCTCCCTGGAGGTTGCAGGCCTCCTAGCCCCCTGGCAAATCTTTACTCTTTGTGGTCTATCTGCTGGTCTCTACTGCACTCCGCTGCATTGTCCTCTGCCGCCACACCTTATGTACTCAGTTTCTGGGCTCAAGTGCACCCACTCACGCATGCTCACACCATACTCCATTTCCAGGTGCCGCTGTCAGGCATGCATATAAGACCATAGGTGATGATCACAGACGCTAATGGCGGGAGGATGGAAAAAGTCTGATCACCTCCATTTACCCTACAATAATTTTTGATTTTAGAATTTTAGGCAACACAATGTTCCCTACAAGGGACTCCATGATGATACTGTTGAAGCAGCATAGTATGGGGACTATGGAGCAAGGAGTTAGGCTGAGCTAGAATCCTAGTTCTGCCATTTCTTATTTTCATGACCTTAGGTGAATTATTTTTCCTCTCTATGTCTTTGTTTTCTTGTCTGTAAAATGGAGACAATAGAATGTATCTCACAGAGTTATTTGTGCAAACTAAATGAGTATGATATACACAAAGAACATAACACAGTATCTGGCACATAATAAATTTTATGTAAGCATTAGCTATCATCTCTCCTACTTCTCTTTCCTTCCACCCAACTCTGGGTTCCAGACATTCTGTATCGTGCAGGCCTGAGGACAAACCAGGAATCATGCTTCCAGGCTATTCCACATCTGTTCCTCTACTTGGAATTCTCTTCCCCTAATCTCCCTCTTCTTTTTCCCACCCCCAGCCTTCTATCTTAGTTTAAGTGCCAGATGCCTTGGGAGCAATTGACAAAAGCAACCAGTTGCTCCTACTATGCGCTCCCATGGCATTTAGCTAGGGCTGCCATGTTAGGAAGCCCAGTAAAATCTGAATGTCAGATAAACAACAAATAATCTTTTCATGTAAGTACGCCATGTGTAATAGTTGAATCTCAGGTAAATAAATAATTTTAGTATAAATATGTCCCATGCAAAATTTGATATATACTTAATGCTAAAATTTTGTTTTTCGACATTTGAACTTCACTGGCTATCTTTTATCTATCAATGCCAGACCCTGAAGATCCTCTGTCTTAAGTCTTTTTATATTTTAAAAACTTAAAAATTGTAGCAAGTGGTTCTTTGTTTCCCCTTCTAGAGTATCAGTTGTAAAGGGCTGGGTCTATGCAGCTTTGCTTACTGTTTTAGACCTAGTCTGGCAGGCCATAAAGATGGCAAGTCAGTGCTCAGGTGTAGTCTGTTAGGAATTAACTCTAACTACCAGCAAACTCTATGGGAAAACAAAGTGTTTCACCAGGGTACCACTAACCTCATGTGCACAGGTGGATGAAATGATGGAATCACTTTTCAGAATATCTCTAGTGTGACAATATTGTTGACTCTACAACGAGGGCATTAAACGTGACCTGGTTACTTCCCATTCGATAAGGACTTTCAGTTTTTCACACCTATTTTGCTTGACCCTCAAAGCAAGTATTAATAACTATATTTAACAAAGGAAGAAACTGAGGCTCAAAAAAGTAAGTAGCTTGTCCAAGATTATCAATAAATGGGAGTGGCAATTTTGGTGCTAGAGCTGACTTTTTCCCTTTCCACTGAACCACATGGCCAACTGGGATGATCTGAAAAATCAGACTTCCCTGGTTCTTCCTCCCTGCCTGGAAAGCTTCTCAAGGAACAAGCCTGATATCTGACCCTTCTCTGAGTTGCTCCTCCCATGATGGTGCTCCAACAATAGCCCGAGAGGAGACAAGGAGGCCTGACACAGGTGCTTTTTTTGAAATACAGGTGATTCTTAGCTAATCTCTCATTACAAATAACATTCTTTAGGTCTGGAGACTTCTAAAGACCTTATTCAGAATTATAAGAAAATAGGAGTAATACTAACCGGGACCAGAAATCCATTTCTTCTCTGTCACCTAAATTTCTAGGAGACATTACCCCACACCCCACTAAATTTCTGAGGACAGAGAGATTGACTATGGACACTGTCAGCTTTCTTATGGAAGAGAGAGTGCCTGCACCTGCTCTTAGTGTGGCGGAAGCCAGAAGAAGGGAATAACCCCGAAAGGCTGCGCAACCTGGGCCAGGCGGTGAGAAACCAATGACCTAAAACTGAACGGGCCGGGAGCATTTCGATAAAGCTAGGAAAGCAAGCCTCCAGCAATGTCACGTTCTCAACTGGCTCCAGCGCCAGCTTATGTGATTCGGGGTGGAATCTGCGGGGAAAGCACAACAGGACTGCCGACCTGCAGTTTGGGAGTCACTGGGCAGCTTTGTTTTGTTCTGAGCCCGAATGCTGGCCTGGCTGGTTGGATTAGCGCCTAGATCCTCAGGAGCGCAGAGGAAATTGCGCCTCCGACGCTCTGCTCCCCCAAGAGCCGTGGGAGAAGGGGTGCTGTTTACTCAGATGCTGCCTTAAAATATCACAGACGCAATTATATTATTGGGTCTCTGAAGAAAACTTTCCAAAGCTGACAGAATTCTAGCTGGAGGTTTCGTTTGGCGCTCAGAGGCGGATTTTCACAAAATTACCGACCTGGATTAGAGGCAGCATGGAAGGTGCTCGAGACCATCTGGTCTAGGACTGGGGAGTGCCCCCCGGGAGGGTGTTTTCCCCGGGTGCGGCGGAGATCCTCGGCTGGGTGCCGCGCCCAGCTGGCTTCCCCGCTGAGTCCCAATCCACGCCCACCCGGCTCTGCGCGCGCGGCGCGGGCTGCGCCCCCCGCTCGGTTGCCGGGGTAACGAGGAACGCGCGCGGAGCTGGCGGGTGCGCCCAGGCTCTGCAGCTCCTCCCCCTTGCAGACCGCGAAGGCTTAGCGCTGCCAACAGCTGGCTGCAGAGCGGTTCTTTAGCCGGGAAAGTGCGGCTCTGGAGCGGCTCGGGGCTCAGCCAGTGGGAGGCCGGGGGTGTGGTAGAGGAAGGCGCGGGCCGAGTACTTAGAGCCCGGCGGGCCGCCGGCCGCGCCTCCAGTGCGCTCTCGCGCGTGCGTTCAGCCCACGGCAGCTGGGGCCTGGGAGAGCAGCCACCCCGCGGCATCATGGTGACACCCTGCCCCGCCAGCCCCGCCAGCCCCGACGTGCGGGCTGGGAGAAGGGACGACGACCAGAACCCGCGCGCCCCTGTGAAGAAGAGCAGGCGCCCGCGCCTCCGGAGGAAGCAGCCGCTGCAGCCGCTGCACCCGCTGCACCCGTGCCCGCTCCCCGGGGACTCCGGCGTCTGCGACCTGTTCGAGTCCCCCAGCTCGGGTTCGGACGGCTCCGACAGCCCCGCGGCGTTCACTGCGCGAAGCTGCAGCCCCCTGCTAGGTCCGGCCCAGCACGCGGGGCAGCTGGACCTGCGGACCTTCCGCGACTACGGCCAGAGCTGCTACGCCTTCCGCAGGGCGCGGGAGAGTCACTTCCACCCGCGGGAGCCGCTGGCGCGGCAGCCACAAGTGAGGCGCTGGCAGGGCCAGCCCCCCACCGCCGCTCTTCCTCTCGGGTGTCTCCTTTTCTGCTCTGTCTGCCCTTCGCGGCGGGCCAGCCCACGCCAGCCCCGGTCCCTGCCCCCGGCCCGGGCGGGAAGGGGCCTTGGAGGGCGAGGTGACCCGCCTCATTTTACAAAAGGAGAAAAGTGGGGCCCAGGCGGCTTAAGTTACCGCCCCGAAGTCTCCAAACTGGTTAGTGGGAACGAGGTAGCGTGCAGAGGATTAAGACAGTCTTTGGGTTCGAGTCGGGACTCCCTGCAACCCCGGGCCAGTTATTTAACAACCCTGAGCTTGTTTCCTTACCTGCCAAGCGAAGGCCCCAGTAGAATGGCTGAGAGGACCCCACGAGGTCCGCACGGATCCGGGCGTCTCCACTCGCAGCCCGGCGAGCCCTAACCGCAGCAGCGCACCGCGCGCCTTTCCTTGTTTGCAGCGCATTTTGCCTTTTCCCTTCTTCCTGCCTCCTTCTGGGGTAGCTCCTCGGATCTTCTCGGTCCGTCCCTTCAGCAGCCTCTCTCCGCGCTGGCCTCAGCGCGCCCGCCTCCCTCCTCCCTTCGGCAGGTGACGGCGGAATCCCGCTGCAAGCTGCTCAGCTGGCTGATCCCCGTGCACCGCCAGTTCGGCCTCTCCTTCGAGTCGCTGTGCCTGACGGTGAATACTCTGGACCGCTTCCTCACCACCACGCCTGTGGCTGCAGACTGCTTCCAGCTGCTCGGGGTCACGTCCCTGCTTATCGCTTGCAAGCAGGTACCTCCACACAGGGCCTGGGGACAACTAAATTCCCCTAATCACCCGGCTCTTCAGGGCACACGATTCAGTGCTGGGTTCTCTAACTCATTTTGGTAGACGTTTGCAAATTTACACATCCCCACTGCCTTAACGTCACAAGTCCCCCACAAACTAACATCCCTTCCCCCCACGCCGCCCTAAACAAACAGGCTGAAGTAAGTTCCAACGTCTTTGCAGTGTTGTTATTTTAGAGGAGGTAAGGGGGGGGTCAAAATTTCTTATACCTTATTTCAGCTGGACGGTAGTTAAACTGCGCTGGAAGTACACCCAGGTGATTTAAGTGGAAGTAATGCAAAGTGAAGCCTCAGTTGACTCGCTGGAAGGGATGGGGTGGTGGGGCCCCCTGAGACTGGGGTGGGTCTAGCTCTCTGGATGCTGCGCGGTGGGGGCTGAGCATCCCTGTGTTACAGGTGGAGGTGCACCCGCCACGCGTGAAACAGCTCCTGGCCCTGTGCTGTGGTGCCTTCTCGCGGCAACAGCTCTGCAACCTCGAATGCATCGTCCTGCACAAGCTGCATTTCAGCCTGGGCGCGCCAACTATCAGTTTCTTCCTGGAGCATTTTACCCACGAGCGCGTAGAAGCAGGGCAGGTGGAGGTCTCGGAAGCCCTGGAGGCGCAAACTCTAGCTCGCGGGGTGGCGGAGCTGAGCCTGGCCGACTATGCCTTCACCAACTATGCCCCCTCCCTGCTGGCCATCTGTTGCCTGGCGCTTGCTGACCGTATGCTGCAGCTGCCGCACCCGGTGGACTTATGCCTGGTCGGGCATCCCGAGGAAGCTTTGCAGGACTGTCTGGGCAAGTTGCAGCTGCTGGTGGCCATAAACGGAGCCTCCCTGACTCATATGCTGCCCATTCAGATCTGTGAGAAGTGCAGCCTACCCCCGAGCTTGAAATAAAGTAGATCCTTGCTATCCTTTTATCCCCTGATGTGGCTGCTGACCTCACCCATTTGCTTTAAAAAGAGTTCAGGATTGGCTCAAGGCTTCTTGGTCCACAGGTCATCCTACAGGTTGTAAATACTGTAAGATAACGTCTAGTTATGTATTTATTTTCTTGAGATTTCACTCAAGTTGTGTCTTTCCCCAATAAACAGGCTGTCTTGGTTTGACTGCTGCTACTGGGTGTGCTTGTCCATGAACATGGAAGGTGAGGGCAGCCCAGGAATAGAAGTGACCAGCAGCAATTGAGGAGGGGGTCCTCCATTCCCAATTGTCCATTCCATGGTTAGCAACTCTATGCAGGAAAGCCAGGTCTGGCAAGGTCCTGAATCCTTGGTTCCAGTTACAGAGATCAGTTAGGGTCACTTGTACCCTGTATCCAGTGATCCTGAAGCTGAAGACTAAGCCACATCCCAGAGGTAAAGGGCACAGTGGGGTGTGAAGTGACATAATATACACGTGTGGCCTGTGCTGTCTAGAGGAGCCAGAGTGTACACACTCCAAGGAGGGCAGACTGGGAAGCCTCAAGGACTGCTCTGGTGCACTAGGTAGGGCCAAGCAAGAGCAGCCCCCACAAGTAAATGATGCTGGAAATGAAGGTTTTGCCTGTAGTTATGGCTAATTTGAGTCTAGCCCATTTGTCCTTCAATCATATGGTTCAAAGACTCAGGCTTGTCTTACACCTGCTTCACAAGAGCCCAGGGCAACAATAGCATAATAGGCAGGGCTAGCACTGAACACTTACAACATATCAGAGGCTATTCGGCATACATTATTCCAACCCAACAGTTCTATGAGGCAGAGTGTATTGTCCCATTTTTCAGAGGACAACACTGGAGCAGAGCAGAGAGGCTAAATGACAGTGGAGCAGCAAGGATTTGAAAGCCAGTGATCTGAGTGCAGAGTCCCACGCTTAGCCATACTGCTTAACTCTTACCCCTCCACCACCCTCAGGTTTCTGGAAATACCTAAATAAAAAGACCCGCTTCCTGAGGTAAGTGTGGGGTAAATTATTTACTCAGTGCCTTCCATCCAAAAGGGACTACAGAGAACATATTTGGAGAAGTCGCACATTCCCTTCTAGCTTACATGAGCCATGTTACAGATGGGAAAACTGAGTCAAGAAATGAGACAGGTTTGCTAGCAGAGTTGTGTGACTCCACAACTGTCCCATCTTCTTACCTACTGTAGACTCTGAATCTCAGCTATTCCCTCCAGCAAATTCCCTAACCTCTCTGAGCGTAACAACTGAGACCCAGGCTGTTGAGAAACCTAAATAAAATTGTTGTGGGGCAATACCAATAGTGATGAAATGTGTGTTCTGGAATCAATTTGTTGGATGATAGTAAGCAAATTACATCACTAAGCCTAAGTCTCTGTAAAAAGTGGGAATAAGAAGAGCATTTTTCAGTGGGGTTGAGGTGTGGATTTAACAAGGTGTTCTACATAGACCCCCTCCACACAGCTGGGTCAAGAAATGAAGGCTGATGGCAGCCTGCACGGTGATGGGGAAGGGGGTACATGCTGTTTCCCCCCTAAAATGTTTTGTATGCTTAAAGTTTTGGGGCATAAAACCCTCAACCATGTGCTACTGCATTTAGAATAAATCCAAATGTATGACAAATATGCACAAATAAAAAGCAAACTTAAAACCAATTTAGAGAATCTTCCTTGAATTTCACAAGAACCCCAAGTACCCTGCAGAGCAAGAGGCTACTTCACTCTGGGCTTCTCACCCCTCTTCTGATAAATTGCTATGTTAAGCTCTGCAGGAATTCTCTCCTCTCAGCTTTGGGAGAGGTGAAGTGTTGATCCCCAAGCTATGGTGAGGGAAAGCTGGTTTAATAAAAGATGAAGAAAATCATGTGTGCCCCCAAGTCACAAAACTGCTGAAGCCCTCAGTCTGGCTGTGGGAGAAGGGAAACACTGGGCTTTCAACAAAAGAATGATTTGGGATGTTGTCTTCACCTGCATTTACTTTACCACCCAAAATTGGGGTGGGTGACCTGATTCCAGAATGATCCAGACTGGGAGTCTAGCATATAATCATGCTATTCCAGCAACTGCTGCCACAGATAATCTATTGTATACTTTTACATCCAATGCCCATATTTTTCCACCCCAATTTGTAACTCATTGGTGAAAAATGGGCTTGTTCTAGAAAATCTGTGATGGTGTTGATGTGTAGAGGTCTCCCAAAAACTCCGTGAAGAGTTCCCCTACTTCTTTTACAGACTGGGAAGTTGATAAGAATACCAGCGCAGGTAGTAGGTAGGCTACTGGGAACCAGAGAAGCCTGAAGACAGCCGCCTACCTTAGACTGGCAGTGCAGCTAAAAAGTCTCTTTAAAACAACAACAACAACATTAATGGATCCATACGAAGCATCAGTCACATAAATAATCCACCTTCATAGCAACTCTATTGAAGTCAGGGTTACATTTTTCCTAAAGAAAGGGGTTCATGATGTCCTCATAGGTTCTGATCTTTCCTCAGGCACTGCGACCCCAAAGCCAGAGCTCCTCACCATCAGCCTTACCAGGCCAACTCTAACAGACCAACTCCACTGGGCCCCACATTGTTCACTGTTAGTGATATCTTGTTTATTCATCCAGATAATAGGTGCAAATAAAAGAGAAGCATGACACTTTAAGAGAGGCTTTTTCAGGGCCTCCCTGGTGGTGCAAGGGGTTAAGTGCAGCACTATGAAAAAATCTGCAGCCTCTGCAGCATGAGTTCAATACCTGGCCGGCCAGGGAGTAACCCACATGGCGAGGCAGACTCACCTCTCCTGACTCACCCGCTGCTCCCCTCAGCAGTGTACTTCGGTCAGTCTGCCTGTTCTGTTCCCCACTCTGTCTCTGGTGGATCCTCTCACCCCCCGCATATCTGGCCTGTACCCCAGCTCTTGTATGCATAAATAAATAAATCTTTTTTAAAAAAGTGTTAAGTCTTCCTCCCGGCTGTCCATAATCGGAAGCCTGTAACCCGCTCCAGGGCCGGAGGGGCCGGGCCGCCCCTACTTCCCTGCGGTCTGGGGGCGCAGCGGGGAGCGGGCGGCGCCAACGTGGGCCAAAAGGGCGCTGGCGGGCCCGGGCCCGGCTCTGGCGGCTCCCGGGGGAAGCCGCGTTGCCAGGTTGGGCTTAACGCCTCCGCCCGCGCGCTGATTGTCCGGGGCTGAAGGCGCCACCTCTGGCGCTTAGACGCCAGCCGGCCCTCCTGCGCCGCGGGCCTCCCCTCCGCTCGGCCCTCCCGAGGCACCTCCTCAGCCGCGCCTGGCTCCACCCCGGCCACGCGCCGGCCCCGACCTCCGGGCGGCTCCCGAGCCTGCAGACCGCGGATCGCCGCCCCGGCCCGGCCGCCGCCCCCGGGCAGTCGGCGCGGAGCTCGCGGCCCGGAGCGCGCGGAGGCGGGATGCAGGCGTGCGGCGGCGGCGCGGCGGGGCGCCGGGCTTTTGACAGCATCTGCCCCAACAGGATGCTGGAGCTGCCCGGCCGGCCCCTCGGCAAAGCCGGGAGACTGGAGAGAAAGGTGGGGCTGCGGGCCAGGCCGGGAGGGGTCCGCGCACGCCTGGCGCTGAGGGTGACCTCGCGCACTGTTTCTGTGCCCGGCTAGTTCGCGCCTCCTCGGAAGCTCTTCCCGGGGTGCGGCGCCGACGGCGCGGTGTCGGTGCCGGTGTTCCAGGACCCCCCGGGCGCGGAGCCCGCAGCGCTGCCAGGTGAGCCCCGACGCCCCGGCGTCACCTGTGAGGGTCCCGCGGCGCGTGGGAGGGGCGCCCGCGGCGCGGAGGAGCTTCTCTTGCCGAGGTCGCACCCTCGCGGGGAGTCTCAGGGTCCGCCCGGCGCGTGTCTCCGGTTCTCCCCGCGCAGCGCTCACCACCATAGACCTGCAGGACCTCGCCGACTGCTCCGCGCTCCTCGGGCCCGACGCGCCGCCTAGTGGTGACTCGGCAGCCTCGCAGGTACCAGCCCTTCCTCTGGGAGCCTCGGGCGACCCCTGGCGGCTCACACTCCTCTCCCGAGTCAGGGGTTCGATCCCGCGAAGGGTCGGCTGGGGCGGGGAGCGCAAGTACCAATCGCCGGTGAGGGAGACGTCGTGCGGGTACCAGAACCTGGGGGCTCTGAACTTGCTCCTTTTCGCTAGTGTCGTATACTTGCCCAGAGCATTTGTGACCAACTAGCGACAGGGGGGCTCGCCTGGAGGGCTCACTTGCCGCATGAGCCTCCCGTTCTCCTCCCCGTCTGTTCCCTGGTGCTGCGACAGAGCAACGTGCAGATTTCCCGCCGAGGGACCAGGCGGTGGGTGGGAGCAAAGGCGTGCGCTGGGCCCCTGATCACATCCTGTCCCTCACCTTAACATTCCCTTTCTGGCCATTCACTAAGGATTTTCATTCCATGGGTATCTAAGGAGTGTGGAGATCGGTGGATAGCTTCTGCTCAAGATTAGAGAAGAGGAAGAATATTTACATTTGGAGTAGGTGGGGAGAGGGACAGGGACTAGGAGGAAATCTAACAGAAAATGCTTCTTTCTTCAGAGATGACTCTTCAGCATATGAACACTTAAAAAGTCTTTTTTTCCCTTTCCAAAGATTCTGGTCATTTATCCTCAGGTGGCACGAGGAATTTGACTTTTTTCTTTTCCCAATAAGTTTGTCTTATTACTTGTGTGTCCACTGTTTGCCAGGGCTGACAATGGAGCCTCGCAGCACTGGTGTCTGGTGCCATAAGCCTTGCTCACCCATGTGTTGCCCATGACCAGAAGGGCAGGGGGTCTTATCTAGATGCAAACCAAAGCAGAATGCCAGTTCCAGCTTTCCAGCAGCAGGTGTTGTGGACATGGGGACACAAGGTCCATGGGGACAGGTCCTGCATAGAACTCTTCAGAAGATATCCCCACTTACCAGAACTGGGGTTGGTGGTAAGGACTCCCGGGCTTCCTCTATGTGCCTTTTAGAACCTGGGGATAAGCTGCGGGAGTCTGGATAGGTGATGGTGAAGGACAAGGGGTGGGAGTGGGTATTGTCCTGCAGAAGCCATTTGATTGTTCTTTTTAGATCTGGAATCTCAAATAAGGAAAGACAATGCCTGAGCATCTTTCAGCTGACCCAGAGGCCTACTCTCTTCCTTACTCCAACATATTTATCTTTAATTTAATTATCTTTAATTTTTTTTAAAGATTTATTTATGCATACAAGAGCTGGGGTACAGGCCAGAGATACGGGGTGTGTGTGTGTGTGTGTGTGTGTGTGTGTGTGTATCCACCAGAGACAGAGTGGGGAACAGAACAGGCAGACTGACTGAAATACACTGCTGAGGGGAGCAGCGGGCAAGACAGGAGAGGTCTCCCTCACCATGTGGGTGTCTCCCTGGCTGGCATAGGACCGAACTCATGCTGCAGAGGCTGTGGATTGCTTCATAGTGTGGTGCTTAACCCCTGTGCCACAAGGGATGCCCCATTTATCTTTGTTTTTTAAAAGATTTATTTATGCATACAAGAACTGGGGTGCAGGCCAGAAGTGCAGGGGGTGGGGGTGAGAGGATTCACCAGAGACAGCATGGGGAACAGAACAGGTAGATTGACTGAAATACACTGCTGAGGGGAGCAGCAGGTGAGTCAGGAGAGGTCTGCTGCGCCACATGGGTAGCTCTCTGGCTGGGGATCAAACTCATGCTGCAGTGGCTGTGTATAGCTTCATAGGTTGCATCTTAACCCCTTGCGCCACCAGGGAGGCCCCCAACACATTTATCTTTCAAAAAATAAAATCCAAACAGGCTTTTGCTGAATTTTTGCTTAACTATATTGAACTTAAATTGGACATCATGTTCTGTATTGGTCTTATTCTGGGATTGCTGTTGTAATAGGATAAATGCCAGATTTTGGCCAAATTGGTAAGTTGCAAGCACAGAGCTCATATCATATTGTTTAAGAGGTCCGGATTTTTTCCTGGGAAGACAGAGCTAGTGCAGAGGGAGGGAGGCCTCTTGGGGAAGATCCCCTGGGGGAAACCCCTGGCTTGTGCACACCCTGTTCCCAGCCTCCTTCCTGCTGGGCACAGAGAGGAAGTGCTTTAGAAGTGTTTGGAGTCCACAATGGGCCTCAGGGGAAGAAACATTTCCTGGGCCCCAGTTCCTGACCTGTCTATGCAAGTCAGGAAGCCTCCTGGTCTCCCCGTGGTAAGGGCTTTCCCCCCATCTCCACTGAGAGGAGAAGGAGACCTTTTCAGTCCTTGGAAAATATCTCATTTCTGATTCATTCAACCAGAGCAGAAGTTGTGCTTCAGGGTTTGTCTGGGGCCCTTAGTCCTTCTATTCTAAGCTCCTTTCCCCCTCTCAGTTCTCATTGGTGCTAGAGGCTCATCCCCGTAAGGAAAATTTTACCTGTATGTTCTTTGAAGTTAGGGTTAGAACAGATTCCCCTTCTCAGAAATATTTGACTAGTAAAGGACTTTTGAGAAGTATGAGTATCAGAAAGGAATGAATCAATAATAATGGAATCAGTGGAACTCATATTTTTGGTGGGCACTTATGTATGCCCTGGCCCACTATGCCCCTGGAGAGACTGCTTTCCCTTTCCCTGATAGAGGAAAGGGGATTGCAATAGGTATCATCATTCTGGGGCAGGAGCCCTAACTCTACTATTTCAGAGTTGGGTGACTTTGGGCAATTAAGTTTCACAGATTGGGGCCTTCCTGGTGGTGCAAGGGTTAATACGCAACCTATGAAGCAATCCGCAGCCACTGCAGCAGGAGTTTGATTCCAGACAGCCAGGGAGCAGCCCACATGGCGCAGCAGACCTCTCCTGACTCCCCTGCTGCACCTCTCAGCAGTGTACTTCGATCAATCTGCCTGTTATCACTCTGCCTCTGGTGAATCCTCCACCCCCCACACCTCTGGCCTATACCCCAGCTCTTGTATGCATAAATAAATCTTTAAAAAAATAAGTTTCACTGATTGTCAGGTTCTCCATCTGGGAAGGCCCTACCTGCTTCCCACACTGGTGTGAGAATTAACTGAGTGACATGATGTTAAAGAGTATTGTCGACACCAAAGGTCCAGGAATTAGGAATAAGAGTCCTTGGTTGCCAGCTTTTACTGCCCCCTGCTTTTGCACCCAGGCACCTTGCAGGCACCCGGCGGGTGTCCAGTTCAAGATGTTGGAGGCATTGATATATATACCTGAAAGGTCAACTTCAATGCTTTGAGAAACTAAAAGGAGCAATGGAGGCCACCCCTGCTGCAAGTTGAACAGAAACACTTTTTTAGCAGCCTGGCCTCTCAAACCTTAGCCTATTCCTTGCGTTCCCTTATGGGGAGGGCATGGTTTGGTGATGTGACTGAGTCTTGGCGGGCTATTTGACCTCAAGTTACTGCTTTGGATGACAAGGAAACTTGTCTGGTGGGGGAAGGAGGTAGGGCAGGGGACCCGGTCTTGGCGGGAGCTCTCTCTTTTAGAGCAATGGCTCCGAGCTAAGTTGGCGCTGACGTGGAAGGCGCCGGGCTGCACCGGTGCAGTTGTGGGCTGGTGGCCGACCCAGGAGGCGGCATAGGGACTGTGCCAGCTGCTGGTGGCCGCGCGGGGGTCACCGTGCGGCACGTGGAAGCACCGACGCCAGAAACACCGCCGCGCACAGTTTCGGTGCCCCGCAAGACCCTGGCACACTGGGCCCCGCTTCTCACCAGCGGTGCAAACCTGCTGGGTACCGCGTCCAGAACGGGGCTTTAATTTTCAGGTAGGAGGCTCAGCTGCAAACGCTAGGGCCTGCAGACCTAGAAAGTGTTCCGCCCCTGCCGGGCTCCACGTTAACTAGTTTGCTTGTCTGGTTTACTTCAGAACCAGTGCCTGCCAACCGCCGCGGACTTCGATCTGCAGGATTTCAGAGACACGGTGGATGATCTCATAGCAAGTAAGTGTAGTCTTCCTCGCAGTTGTGGCGGCGCCTGGGGGGTGAGGGGTGTCCCCCATCCCAATCAGACAGTTCTGATTTCATAGTAAAGGTGGTAAACTTAGCACCTGGACCAGCAACTCATCCAAGGGTCAGACTCTTCGTATTTATGCTACCTCCACCCTTCCTAGTGGAGCAGATGAACCGCAGCATGAATCTACAGCGCGCTCTGCTTGCGGGTGGGAGCGCTGGGAGAGGAAACTCTCTAGGCTGTGGTGTGTGTGGGAGAGGTTGGGTGACAGCAGAGTGCAAAGCAGAGGGCTTGTGTGACTGCAGACATGTTTACCCTAGTCCCCTTGGAGGTTTCAGATCAGATCAGCTTAAGGCTACACACTGAGCATCTGCTGTGCATGGGCGGCATATCAGGAAGAACCTGGGACTCTCAGGGGTTGCAGAGAGGTGCTTTACTTAATAAAGAAGAATCTCCACACAAACCACATCTGGCCTGGCATTTTGTCCTTGTAGCTAGCTGGCAGCGAGTTTGAGGCTGCAAACCCAGCTCCCGCTTTTCCTCAGACTCATCGTCTTTGATGTCGCCTCCCTTGGCCGGCGGAGACATCCCCTTCTCTCCATGCGACATATTGCCCTTTGGGCACTGTCTCTCCCCGCATCTGGAACCTTCGGCTGTGCAGTCACCGCCCCCGCGCCCTCCCGACGTGCCCGCGCCGGAGCAGTACTGGAAGGAGGTGGCCGACCACAACCAGAGAGCTTTGGGGGACGCCCTCGTGGAGAATAACCAAGTAGGGACCCTAGGCTGGCAGCCAGGAATCCGGGGGGTGGGGACAGGGCTTGGAGGAGGAGGAAAGGACCCCTGTGGACGTGGGTGAACCGGCCTGTCGCTCACTTAGGGGCTGTACCTCAATTTCCACCTCCCCTAAATGGGAATAAGCCCACCGCAGGAGATTTTTTTTTTAAGTAAGATCACCAATATTTTTATTTTTTTAACCAATATTTTTAGAGTGTTATCTATGTCTGGTACTGTGCTTACCACTTTACTTTCTCCTCCATTTAATACTCATAACAACTGAGCCAGATACTCTTGCCAGCCCCACATTGCAGATAAGAAAAGCGAGGATTCAGGGGCTAACCTCAAAGGCAAAACCTACCTTTACCTATTGCCTAAATAAGCAATATTCTTCACCACCACGCTACGCTGAAGATTTCCTGAGATACCGTTTGTCTAAAAAGATGTCAGATAAGGAAAATGGATTATCCTCGCCAGTGTGCACGCCCATTCCTGATGCGCCCCAGGGTCTGGGTTTAATTCATGCGGAGTGTGCAGATCCCGAGCTCCGGCATGGCGGCCCACCCTTGAGGGTCTGCTTCTCCTCCTGCAGCTGCACGTGACGCTGACTCAGAAACAGGAGGAGATCGCCTCGCTCAAGGAGCGCAACGTGCAGCTCAAGGAGCTCGCCAGCCGCACCCGGCACTTGGCCTCGGTGCTGGACGTAAGTGTGGCGCCGCCGCGCGGGACCTGCTGGATCAGAAATGTGCCTGTGCACCGCCCTCCCCTTGACCCACTCCGGGGGTTGGGATGGTCCAGCGGAGACTGGGGCAGCCACTGAGGATGGCTGGGAGCTCGCTGAGTCGCTCGCGGGGGGTGCTGCTGGGCCCCGGGGCTCCCTGGCGCCGCGCGGCGGGCGAGTCCGGCTGGCCCCAGGGCGGCGCTCCTCCCGTGTGTTGCAGAAGCTGATGATCACGCAGTCCCGGGAGTGCGGAGCGGCGGCCCAGCCCGTCCTGCTCAAGGCGACGGCCAAGCGGAGCCTGGAGGAGCTGTTCAGCGCGGCGGGTCAGGACGGCGCGGAGGTGGACGCCATCCTGAGGGAGATTTCTGAGCGTTGCGATGAAGCCCTGCAGAGAAGCGATTCCAAGCGACTCCGGCTCCAGCCCGAGCCCGGGAGCAAGGACTGCAGGCCTGGGAATCTGCACGGCGCTTTCCGCGGGCTGCGCACGGACTGCAGCCGGAGCGCGCTGAACCTGAGCCACAGCGAGCTGGAGGAGGGCGGCTCCTTCAGCACCCCCATCCGCAGCCACAGCACCATCCGAACCCTCGCCTTCCCCCAGGGCAATGCCTTCACCATCCGGACAGCCAGCGGGGGTTACAAATTCCGCTGGGTCCCCAGCTGAACTGGGCCGTGGGTCTCCCAAACACTGCCCTGTATCTTGACTGAAGTGCCTGGCGACTAAGCGCGGGGTAGCGAAACTCCTTCCTGAGTCTGGCTTCTCAGAACTCCCCCAGCAGGGCTTTGCACCCTAAAAGTAATGCTCCCCACTCCCCCCCCCAAGCATCTTTATACGAATGCACTATAAAATTCTGGTACAAAATTTGTATAGTTCCTCCCCTTTCAGAGGAAGAGAGAGAGAGAACACACTCACATCACAGTCAGTTTTAACATTTTTAGCAGCTTTGAGTTAAATACTTTTAAATCTGGATATCACCTAGGTGTTCTGTAATTATATAATGCCCTACTTTTATAAGAAGGAAAAGGAGCCTTTAGGAAGCTAATTTTCTCTAAGAGGTATGATTGGAAACTTCCAGTCATTCTCACTAATTATTTAAGGGTTGTAGGCCCAGAAGCTAATTTACTTGACAAACGTTTCAATATGTCTCTCACCTTCCCCCAGTAAGGAAAGGATACTTAAATTTGTTATTCTTGCAAGCTTTTATTCTATTAATAGCTGCTGAATTAAGAGCTGGGAGAGGTAGCCTAAAGGTTTGCCTTGGGGCTGTAGAGGAAAATGCAGAGTCTCAGAGGCATTAGCCTATCACAAAATAGGTGCTAAAAACATTTATTTATAGTGATCATTAATATCACTTTGTAAAAGTTATGTTACCTGTTTGTATTAATTGTACATAGTTTTATTTGTCTAAACAGAATAAGCACACAAAAAGCAATCTTTGCTAATAAGAAACACAAGTTGTTTTAAAAAATGTCATATCCTACATAAAAAAGAGTGTTTACATTTTTTTTTTCTTTTTGCCAGAAACCAAGTGTGCAAATCTTGGTAAAGTAAAACTATCTATTTGAATTCCATGGATAAAACTGGGGTGCACATTCATATTTTCTATTTCTTGGCTTGATTCGAAGAAAAGATGTTATGGAGTGGTTTCATGTTGATTTTTCTTATTTTCTTTTGTCTGGGGCTCCCTTTTCTACTCTGTTGTGAAATTATGCAAGTAGCATATGTTAAGTAGTGATTTGTTCCAACTTCTATGTTCTGAACATGAGGGCTCCAGTGTTTGGGGGCTCAGCTTGGGCAACTTTCCAACCCCGTTACACCACATGGTTGGTTGTGCCATCCAAGTAGAGCTATCAGGTAACAGGGAGCGGGCAATGTGGTAGAACCTGCTCCTCCAGTTTGTCACTTACACGGTTACTGCATTTAAACAGCTATTTAGAAACCAAAAAAAAAAAAAAAAAAGAAAGAAAAAAAAGTGATAGTAGACCACATTTCCTCATATTTTGTCTAACAAATGGACTCTTAAAAATACACTAGGGGGTTCAGAATTTATCAGCTCAAATATAATGTTACCAAGACAGGATCAGAAGATAGAAAAATAAAATGAAAATCTTTAACTTGTCCCAAGAAACAGTGTCAAAAGTTCTTGTCCTTTCCAAACCCAAATTAGTGTTTTCATTATGCATTAACGTCAATGCCCAAAAAGTAAAAAAAAAAATTGTTTATTTTTTTCTATTTGTTTTATACCTGGATTTAAGAAAATTACAGTTTTTTCTGCCTTTCAGATTATAAATTTGTAATTGTCATGTCAGCCACACAGCAACTCTTTTTTTTTTTTTTAAGTCTAGTAGCTTCTTTTTTTTTTTTTTTTTAATAGAGGCATGTTTTATTTATTTATTTACTTGTTTGTTTTGTTTATACATGCACTGGGTACAGTCAGAAGCGCAGGAGGGTGAGAGAATTCACCAGAGCGGGGAGCAGAGCAGGCAGAGGGACCGAAGTACACTGCTGAGGGGAGCAGCGGGCGGCAGGAGAGGTCTGCGCGCCATGTGGGACCCTCCTCCGGTGGCTGGGGAGCAGCCGGGGATCGAACTGGCACCGCAGAGGCTGCGGGCAGCTTCGCAACCCAGCGCTCAATCGCTGCGCCACCGGGGAGGCCCCAGCCACACAGCAACTCTAACTGCTTAAGTATTTTCCATTTCTGGGTGTGGAGGGGGAGCTCTTCTTGGACCTAATGGTGTAAATTACCAACTTTGCATTAGTTGCCAGTAGTGGAGTTAAAACATTCATTCATTCAATGATGTTTATTTAATGTTGGGAAAATTGAGAAATCAGATATTAAAAACAAAACAAAACAAAAAAAAAACTCCACCCTCATAAATCTTTCTCCTGGGAGGAGCAAAAATCACAGGCTAATAAATATACAAGTACTATGAAGAAGAGTAAGGGTAGCTTGAGTTATCATAACAAAATAGAATAACAGGGTGATTTAACAACAGACACTCAGAGTTTTGGAAGTTGGGAAGTTCAAGCTCAGGCTGCCAGCATGGTCAAGTTATGGTGAAGGCCCTCGTCCTGGTCTGCAGATAGCTGCCTTCTGGCCATTTCCTCACTGGGTAGAAAGAGAGGACTCTGGTCCTGTTCTTATTAAGGCACTAATCCCATTGTGTGTTCTCCATGCTCATGACTTCTTTCTACTAAATCATTTTAGGGAATTTCAGATAAAAATAAAGTCAAAGAAAATTTTCAAAAGTGAGTATTTCAAATCAGGTCTCAAGAACCTTTGGAAATGACAATCCTAGAAAATTCAAGTACTCATATACACCATGGAATATTACTCAGCATTCAAAAAAGATAAACACATGCAATTTGCAGCAACATGGATGGAGCTGGAAGGGATCATGCTCAGCAAAATAAGCCAGAAAGAAAAAGAAAAATACCAGATGGTGTTACTCATAGCAGGTATCTAGAAAACCTAAATAAGGGACCAGGAAAAAGAATTACTATAAGAAAGAAAATATCAAAATCAACAAACAGCTATGAACCAGAGACACTCTATGGGAGGTGGGGGGCAGGGAAAGGAGGGGGTCAAACATTTTGGGGTCAAAATAAGGGGGTTGTAATTGTTTGGGGAATATAAAAATAAAATATAAATTAAAAAAAAAAAGAAAATTCAAGTACCCAAACATAGATTTCTCTGTGCAAAAACAATTCAGTTAAAGGGAACAAATAGAGAAATAATTATTGTGCATAATAAGGATTAAACATTAAGTATAATATTATTATCACAATGGTAATTTTATGGTATTTAAAACTTATCATCACTCCTGGGAGGATGGAAAGTAGATGACAATTCGTATTTGGGGTATTTCCAAAAGAATATTATGATGTAATTTGGGCATAGGGAATGTGTGAATCACATTGAATATGTTTTGCTTTTTCTTTGACTGTTTTAAGTAAATAAATTAGAAACAACTTGGTCATGACCAACAGTATCTGGTCATAAAGACATCTTGATGCCTGGTATCAGTTACATTTTCTCTCTAAGCAAGACCTATAGAATAATTAGACTCCTGAATCTCTAAAAGAGTCTTAGCAGAACATATGCCAAAGACATAAAGCCCCAGCTTCTGGTGTGTGGGGAAAATGGGGTAGTAGGGGCAGGCCTCACTTTGATAAAGGTAGGGTACCCATGGAAGATGGCACGTTGCCTGGAGCATCTGACTTCCCCCATGAACTTGCAGTGGAGGATCTGTGCTGAGCCTCCTCTGGCAGAGTCTCTGATGTTACACTTACCTGCAGTCACATGTATCTTGTGGGACAATGTCTAGAGTAAGAAAGGATCTTCCTGTGGACAGCATTAAAGAAGACTTAGAGCAGGGAGATCTGGCTTTAGTCAAAGTCCCCTCCACTTTCATCAATTTTCAGGAGTGTTCATTAACAACTTTTACAACAACTATGAAATAGAATGCAATTATTATGAATTATTTGTGCAAATGGGGGAGACTATGACCAGATTGGTGCAGGTGTATGATTCTGTAGAGAACAGAACATAGAAGTATGGGAGTGAGGCCTATCAGGAATTCTGTGGGTATTGCAGATTGAGTTATAGAAGAAAGATGCCAAGGTCCTGGTGGCATCTTGGACCTGATGCTGTGTAAAATTTCCCCATGGGAAAAGACACATGGAGTTAAGAAGAGAACATTTCACGTTTATCTCAATGTCTTACAACTCTTCTCAAGTCTAAAAATACATTCTTGGGTCTCCCTGGTGGCACAAGGGATTAAGCACCACACTATAAAGCAATTTGCAGCCTCTGCAGCACGAGTTTGATCCCCGGCCCGCCAGGGAAAAACCCACATGGCGCAGCAGACCTCTCCTGACTTGCCCGCTGCTCCCCTCAGCAGTGTACTTCGGTTGATCTGCCTGTTCTGTTCCCCACTCTGTCTCTGGTGAATCCTCTCACCCCCCTGCTTCTCTGGCCTGTACCCCAGCTCTTGTATGCATAAATAAATAAATCTTAAAAAAAAAGAGAACTTTCATTTGTTCTATCACTGCATCCTCTTTTAAAAAAATAAAAAAAAATAAAAATACATTCTTGTAATATCACCATCCACCTATTAAAATGTTGTTGAAAGATCTGCATTTTTGTTTCTAACTTATTGGGTTAACAGAGTTTTTACTGTTATGCTAAGTAGCTAACAGATTGTGTTCCAAAAAAATCCTGTTCTCAAATTAAGGAATGTTGTACAGTACTTCTCTCTCTCTCTCTCTAAAGTGATCTTTGATTCACTTATTTATTTATTGAGACCCTGTATTAATTTTCATGTAGTTGTTTTTATATTTTATTGCCATTTACATGCAAAATTAATCTGAGACCATTTGTAGTGAAAACTTACATTAAACAGGACAGTTAAAATCAAGTAGTTTAAATGTAAGGTAATAAGCATAGTTAGGGTAATAATTTGCTTTCAGTCAGTCATTCCTACAATTAAAGACCTAGAACCTTCCTTTAGGCAAACACCTGTTCAAATGTGCTAGTTAACGACTATTTTCAATATTTACTTTTAGCTGCTTAACAAAATACTAGGTAAATCAGACATGACAATTATTTACATTTATTCATATTTACTGATACTAGGGAAAAGAAACTCCATGGATTTACTTAGGGTTTACATGTGCAGCCAAGTAATAATTAGAAATTGCATTAGTTTTAGGATGTGGAAAATTCAATTATTTCTAAGCCATGCCACAGTTTAAAGCAAATACAGACAAATACCAGGTTCTGTGAGTGATAATACCA